GGTGCATGGGAAGGGAAGAAGTTAGGTCGACACTGCGTAATATATGCCCACAATATCTCCGCGCATCCCTCAGTATTCCCAGTACGCTTGAATATATCACGCCGCGATTAAAGTTTTGATTTGAGAGTTACCACTTGTCTTAATCAGAGTAGATAGAACCGCGCGATTCAGTAAGTATGAGCCAAATAGACAAGCAATCGGAATTAACGAGTACTCTAGAATTGGGCTTTATACATCTCACAGTTCGCATACAAGAACTGAAAAGAGATAGATAATGGTCAGAGTAATATAGGCAGTTACTGGACATTCTTTAGGGGGCAGGGGTGAAAGTTCGTCAACGAGAGTCAGAGAAGTGTTAGCATGACAACCGGGATGCTGGATCGTCTTCTACTTTACCGCGAACCTCACTGTCGTTGACCCATCTTGTCCTGGGTCTAGCGTTTTCACTCTTCACTGTTTTTGAAAATTATTGCTTAAGAAATATGCCGCATGGCCAAGGCTGCTTGTGCGAACCATATACACCCTGCCTCGTCGCTGGCCAAAATCTCCTTCATAGCCCATGTTGTCTGCAGGTCGACGTCGGTTAATCTAACCCTTACGTTTTATCGAGTGACTGACTTGCGTTTGTTCGAGTTTTTATTGTTGAGAGGTGTACTTGTTCAGTGTGCTGGCGCTCACTTTTCTTTCGATCTTTCTAGGTGAGCTGGACTTCGTTTTGTGCTTACGTATACTGACAGTACTGCTGGCGACGAGCAGCTCCCTTCCCGTTGGTTTTCAGAGTAAGTTGTCGAGTTACTAAATTGCAATATTTTTGTTCAAGATGTTACTCTCTTGGGTTATATGACAAGCTTCCAATTTTCTGCTTTTTGAAGTTCAGAAGCTCCAACTGTCTTTGTTATTTTAGTGCTATTTTACTACATCTACGTTCTCCACACGAATCATGATTTTTGGATTCATTTCTCTTTGCGCCTTTCATATTGGATGTAAACTATGCAACAATATACTATCCGTCTCAAAAGCAATAGCTCCCAACAAAAATTTTTTTACTGTCTGTTTAGGTGAGCTCAACCTGCAATTCTTCGAAGGCATTTTTAATATGGTTTCCAACTTCGGTACACCAGGCACGGCAGTTGTCGACTTAGTCTCCTTCTCTGGTGACTCTACTCCCGTAAAGCCGGGTTCTCCTCCTACAAAGGCCTTCAGGAAGTTGAGTTTCGGCGATGGAAACCAGTCACCCTCCCTTCCTGCGCGTTCCCCCCGAAACTCCGAGCTGTCGAACATGGTTATTGAGGCGTTTGTGAACTTTGTGCTGTCTGCTAATCGCCACTTTTGTGTTAATACAACTTCTGGCGTCACGCCCATCATGCAGTGCATATCTGGAAAATTTGGGGCTTCACGGGATCTCCTAGAACAGCTACTTCGAATCTTCAACCGTGGTGGTGAGTGATAGTCTTTGCCCCGCAAGTCAGTGGCCTAATCCTTTTGTTTCTTCCTGCCTTTTAATGACTGACCAGGGTTCGAACTTCGTACTCTCTGGTCCTGGGTAGTGTATGACTGATGGCTGCCGGTAAAAGTCCCAGAAATTGCCTTCACAGTCACCTTCTTTTGTAACTAATTCCCTGTAAGGTTGACCCCGGCTTTTAATGGCCCGAATTCAACTGTAAGATCCTTGAATGATATAACGGTGTTCGTTTGATAGCCAAAATTAATGCGATATGTTGTTGACAATGTCAGCCATCTTTTGAAGGAGGTAGTAAAGTTTGGCACATAGTATTGCCAGCAAAGACAGGGAGACGGGAATGGTCATTTCTGGCTTATTAGCCATCCTCAGCCAGTCATACCCAGCCCCAAGTGGTGCACCAGTCGAGGCTTGAACTCGCAACCTTTTTGATCAGATTCTAACGCCTTAACCATTGAGTCACGAGCTGGTTGTGTTGCCGGTTTGGGTCGGGATATATTGACACTCGTTGTTGAACGTTCACCGACCGCTATCGACGGCTAATAAGCCAGAAATGGCTACTCCAGTCTCCCTTGTCTTTGCCGGCAATACTATCTGCCTTTATTACTAGCTGCTACAGCTGGTGTCAGGGCCCGAAAAATGAGGCCCAAAGCGAAGGCAGAGCGGGACAGATGAGTTCTGTTAGTGGTCGGTGAACGTTAATCAACGAGTGACATCTTGACATATTATTTTCCTCGAATGCACCATAAGTATGATTGGCGGATTTTAATGTCCTCCCTAACTGGTTCTCTGGGGCTCGTTTTATGGCCGATTTCATTTTTCACGATTATTTCTGACTAAAGAGGATATGCGTAGCGACATTTTGTTTCTTTGTTTGCTCCCTATTGCAACCTTTGCCTCTAACAATATTTAAATATTACACGTGGTTTCACGAATTTCAACACCTCCGCAATATCAGTACAGTAGTCGCCGGCTATTAAGCCCACCTCGGGCCCAGACCAAATT